CTGGCCTCGTAGAATGAGTTTGGGAGTATGCCCTCCTCTTCTACTTTTTGGAAAACTTTATGGAAGATGGGTATTAGGTATTCACTAAATGTTTGATAAAATTCAGCAGTGAGACCATCTGGTACAGGAATTTTGTTCTTAGGTAGTGTTTTGATTACCAGTTTAATGTCCTTGCTGGTAATTGGTCTTTTCAGATACTCTGTTTCTTCCTGGGTCAGCCTTGGAAGATTGTGTTTTTCTAGAAAGTTGTCCATTTCTTCTAGGTTATCCCATTTGTCAGAGTATAATTTGTCATAGTATTCTCTCATAATTCTTTGTATTTCTGTGTGTCTGTAGTGATTTTTCCTTTCCATTTCTGATTCTGTTTACGTGTGTAGACTCTTTTTCTTGATAAGTCTGACTAGGGTTTTATCTATTTTGTTTATTTTCTCAAAGAACCAGCTCCTGCTTTCATTGATTCTTTTTATTGTTTTACTCTCTCAATTTTATTTATTTCTGCTCTAATCTTTATTATATCCCTCCTTCTACTGACTTTGGGCCTCCTTTGTTGTTCTTTTTCTAGTTTCGCTAATTGTGAATTTAGACTGCTCATATGGGATTTTTCTTCTTTCCTGAGGAAGGCCTGTATATACTTCCCTCTTAGCATAGCCTTTGCTGTGTCTCACAGATTTTTGTAGTGTTGAATCTTTGTTGTCATTTGTCTCCATATATTGCTTGATCTCTGTTTTTATTTAGTCATTGATCCATTGATTATTTAGGAGCATGTTAAGCCTCCATGTGTTTGTGAGCATTTTTGTTTGTGTAATTTATTTCTAGTTTCATACCTTTGTGGTCTGAGAAGCTGGTTGGTACAATTTCAATCTTTTTAAATTTACTGAGGTTCTTTTTGTGTCCTAGTATATTATTTATTCTTGAAAATGTTCCATGTGCATTTGAGAAGAATGTGTATCCTGCTGCTTTTGGGTGTAGAGTTCTGTAGATGTCTGTTAGGTCCTTCTGTTCTAGTGTGTTGTTCAGTGCCTCTGTGTCCTTACTTAATTTCTGTCTGGTTGATCTGTCCTTTGGAGTGGGTGGTGTGTTGAAGTCTCCTAAAATGAATGCATTGCATTCTATTTCCCCCTTTAATTCTGTTAGTATTCGTTTCACATATGTAGGTGATCCTATGTTGGGAGCATAGATATTTATAATAGTTATATCCTGTTGTTGGACTGACCCCTTTATCATTAATAAAGAAGGACATGATGTAATGTCCTTCTTTATCTCTTGTGGCTTTCTTTGTTTTGAAGTCTGTTTTATCTGATACAAGTACTGCAACTCCTGCTTTTTTCTCCCTATTAGTTACATGAAATATCTGTTTCCATCCCTTTACCTTCAGTCTGTGTATGTCTTTTGAGTTTGAAGTGAGCCTCTTGTAGGCAGCATATAGATGGGTCTTGTTTTTTTTTCTATTCAGTGACTCTATATCTTTTGATTTGTGCATTCAGACCATTTACATTTAGGGTGATTATTGATAGGTTTGTACTTATTACCATTGCAGGCTTTAGATTCATGGTTACCAAAGGTTCAAGGATAATTCCCTTAATATCTAACAGTCTAATTTAACTCAGTGTGCTATTACAAACACAATGTAAAGGTTCTTTTTTTTTTTCTCCTTTTTCTTCCTTCTTCATTTTTTATATAGTAGGTATCATATTCTGTATTCTTTGTCTATCCCTTGATTGACTTTGGGGGTAGTTGATTTGATTTTATATCTGCTTAGTAATTAATTGTTCTAGTTTCTTTGCTGTGGTTTTATTTTCCCAGGTGACAGTTATTTAGCATTAGGAATAGTTCCGTCCATAGCAGTCCCTCCAAAATGCACTGTAGAGGTGGTTTGTGGGAGGTAAATTCTCTCAGCTTTTGCTTAACTGAAAATTGTTTAACCCCTCCTTCATATTTAAATCATAATCTTTCTGAGTAGAGTATTCTTGGTTCAAAGCCATTCTGTTTCATTGCAGTAAATATATCAGGCTACTTCCTTCTGGCCTGTAAGGTTTCTGCTGCGAATTCTGATGATAGCCTGATGGGTTTCCCTTTGTATGTGATCTTTTTCTCTTTCTAGCTGCTTTTAACAGTATCTCCTTATCCTTGATCTTTGCCATTTTAATTACTATATGTGTTGGTGTTGTCTTCCTTGGGTCCCTTGTGTTGGGAGATCTGTGGATCTTCATGGCCTGAGAGACTATCTCCTTCCCTAGATTGGGGAAGTTTTCAGCAATTACCTTCTCAAAGACACTTTCTATCCCTTTTTCTCTTTCTTCTTCTTCTGGTACCCCTATAATGCGAATATTGTTCCGTTTGGATTGTTTACACAGTTCTTTCAATATTCTTTAATTCCTAGAGATCCTTTTTTCTCTCTGTGCTCAGCTTCTTTGTATTCCTCTCCTCTAATTTCTATTCCATTTACCATGTCTTCTACTACATCTAATCTGCTTTTAAATCCCTCCATTGTATATTTCATTTCAGATATGGAATTTCTTAATGATTGAATCTATGTCCTAAATTCTACCCTGAGTTCTTGAATATTTTTATGTACTTCCATGAGCATGTTTATGATTTTTATTTTGAACTCTCTTTCAGGAGATTGGTGAGTTTGGTTTCATTTGGCCCTTTTTCCAGTGTTTCTGAGATTTTGGCTTGAACCAGGTTCCTTTGATGTTTCATATTTGTATGTGGCGCCCTCTAGTGCCAGAAGCTCTAGTCTCTGTAGCTGCTCAGCCCCTGGAGTAATGTTAGGGTTCATAGGGGAGCAGCACTCTGTTCTCCAGGTATATGCAGTCTGGCGCAGCCTTCTTTCCTGTTGCTCTTTTAGGATTAATTGTATTAACTATATTTTCATATTATATGTGGTTTTGGAGGAGTTCTCTGTCTCACCTCTCATGCCACCATCTTTTCAAAACAAAATATTTTTAAAATGGTTGATAACTGCTTAATGATGGGGGGAGTCTAGTAAGCATAATGTTCCTCATGTAATTGTAGATTAATGATAACAAAAAAAAATGGTTGATAACTATTCTGGCTTATGTCAGAATCTTTCTTCTTTGACCTAAATAAATGATTGTCTAAAAAAGAATTTTGTGTTGTTTTTTTTATTTATGAACTTCAGTATTCCTTTTTTAAAGAATGAGGGGTCAGGAGCCATTTCACATGATCTGTTTCTACAGACTTAAACCATCTTGAAAAAATGAACACATTTAAATTAGATGCATTTATAAAATGTGTTATAGCAGAACACTTACTAAAATAAGATTGTGTGCATGAATAGTGAGAAAGGAACCTCACATTTGATAAGATGAAGAATCAAATTCAAATGCTCTCAGTCTAACTTTAGGGGTCACATTCGCAGCCACATTCCAGGTTGTTTTTAGTTCAGATTAATATTACCTAATGCTGTTATCTCCTGGTTGTCCTGTATGTCATAATGATCAAAAGAACTAAGATTATGTATGTCTGTGTATATATAGATATATGTGTGTTATATGTGTGTGTGTGTATATGTATATTGTTTCCAAAAGACATAAGTCATGTTTTACTGGATTGCTCCATATTTATTGGCCCTCTGTTATTTCAGGGAGACAGGATGGTGTAGTAGCTGCAAATGTGACCCCTAAAGTTAGACTGACAGGATTTGAATTTGATTTTTCATCTTATCAAATGTGAAGTCCTCCGTAAGACATTTATCTCTCCACAATGTCCTCATCTGTGAAGTGAGGATGATAACTTGTCTCATAGAGTTGCTGTGAGGAATGGAATAATTTCTAAAAGTATATAAATATTTGGGGAGTAAGGTGTTCAAATTGAGCACTAAATAGTCCCATATGTTACCACTTTTCAGAGAGACAGACCTCTAAAATCCTTGACTCGTTTTTACACATATAAAGAGCCTCCAACTTAAAACTAAGTTGTGTGTCAAAAATTTATTGATTTGAAATTCTGCAGTGAACTCTATTAGGTGATTAGGTTGCCAGGCTTATTGTAAAGCCAGTAATCATAGCAAAAATAATTAGAGAACAGGAATAAAATGTAAAGATACTGTCTTAGATATTGATGGTTGAGTAGTGGCTTAGTTAGTGGTTTTTGAAAGAGACTTTTTATAGAAATTCTGAGAATCACTGAGAATCTTTCAAAGAATTTTGGAAGGCTAGCATTTATTCTTTGCTAATTTTGCTTCCAGCTTTATGAAGTTTCTTTGTGTTTATGATAGAGGTCTAGCATCACTGATGTTTTGCACCATGGTTATGTATCAGCTGTCTGTATGGCTATGTTTTGACTGATTCGTTAAGATTAGTTAACTGGATGGGAACTCTTTTCCTTTGGATACATATAGAGTGTGAAAGGAAGAAGATAGTTCAGGAGGATGTGTGCATTTAGTAGTATTAAAGAAGCTGAGTGATCTCAAAGAGAGAGGTGGTAGGGAGCAGCTTCCTATACTGGTAACCATGCCCAGTTAATTGCCCTTAACAAGTTGGAATAGAGTGAAGGATAGAAAGTATAGGTTATTCACATGTAAAAGATGCTTACAAATTGGATTTTAAAACAACCACTCTCTGACAACTTTTCTTTCAAAAAGCATTTCAGGGTATTGTTGTATACTCTAGGTTGTCATTATCAATAGCATTTTGAATTTTTAAACATTTTAACTTTTATTTGAATTCTGGTTAAAAGATTACTACCTAAGGGACAACACATTACACATAGTTTATGTGTACCTCTGATACCAGAGTTCAAAGATGAAGCTTTTCCTGTATTCTCCTTAGATGAAGGGTGAGTCTCATACCTTTAAAAATACTTAAATTTACTAATCATGAAGAAACCATTTTTCATATTATCAGAAAATATTACAATGGTGCTAACATTTCCTTGGCATTAGTTTTTAGTTATTTCTGTTTGCAGACTGTTGTGACACTCAAAGTTTTTATTACTTTTACATGTTGATTAAAATTACACAAATCTTTTACTAGGAGGTTGCTGTTTTTGTCTTTGATAAAAAGCTGATTGACAAATATCAAAAATTTGAAAAGGATCAAATCATTGATTCTCTTAAACGAGGAGTCCAACAGTTAACTCGACTACGACACCCTCGGCTTCTTACTGTCCAGCATCCTTTAGAAGAATCCAGGTAAATTTTTATAAAAACTTACATAAGAGACTTTCTGAACAGTTAAGAATCTTTGTATTTGAATTCTATCTACATAGTATAGTGTCAGTGAAAAATTCTTGTAAATGGAGTGTTGGGTTCTTAAGAATTAGTTCTTTCCCACTATTTATTTGCATATTCTGTGTATATGTCTCCTTTTGAAATACTAATAAAAGCTTTCCTTCACATTTTCCACGAGTCTGTATTTGCTTAGTCTATGCTCAGCACTGCATTAGGCAAATGGAAGATGCAAGAGAAGTGTAGAGTACGACCCTCCCTGAAAGTAGCTGTCTTTATTAATACACTAGAATTTCTTATCCCCTTTTCATTGATTCAGTGTTTGAGGGCTATTTTTGTGTGTGTTCCAGGTACTGTTCTGCATGTTTAATTTCTGTGCCCAGCATGTCAGTCCATAGCCCTCATTTACTCTACAATCTGCTTTTCCTAAGGATAAGCTTGGGCATTGTTGCTAAGAATGACAGGAACTGAATTCTTAAGACTGTGGTGTTTTTAATATTCTTTTTAAATACCCTAGGTATATAAACCTTTTCTGCATTACTCATAGCCCCTAATTAATTCCTTTTTCTTTTCTACTCAGCAAACTATTCCCCACTCTTAATTCAGACGATCTTAATCAAATGCTATGCCAGTTGTGGTCTGTGGATCCTAGGATTCTAAGGCGAGAGGAACAGGCAGGTTGGAGGAACCAGAGCTGGCAGGGTTCCAGGCTTTCCATCTCCCTTCAACCAGGACAGTTTTACTTTTATCTATTTTATATATTGGGTTTCTGCATAATTCTTACTTTGGAATCTTCAGTAACCCACCTCCCTGAAAGGCACAAGATCCTTTCTTTAAATCTTAAAGAGGAAACCTAATATTTGCCTGTGAAAAAGTGTACTAAAATACATTATATTTGATTAACTCATTTACTTCTCACAGTTATACAGAGGAACTGTATGAAGATAAAAACATTTACTTAAGCTACATAGTACAGCACCCTGGTCCTGAGCACCCCCTTCCCTTTTTCTTTTACTATGTCTACCCAGAAATAGGTGCCCTTCTTTTCATGAATAAAATCCCAGAAGACTAGTTGTTGTCTTCTATGTAACCCTTAATATTGTGAACCCTTTATTCCAAAGTGGACTAAGTTTTGTTTGCCACAGTTGTCTTCAGCTTTCCTGACTATTTGGTTGTGCTATTTCCTCTGGAGTGTTTTCTGTCACTGTCTATAGTGTCACCTATCAGAACCCTGCCCATCGTGTTATTTTAACTTGTATCAACCATGTCTTGTATTTTGTCATTACATTTTAAGTCTCTTGAGAGAAGAAGGACCAATCTTTTATATTTTTCTCTGTCCCTGCAACTTCTTTTATAGTGATTTAAATACTGTAGAACTTTGGATTTATTGGTGATCATGAAGAGAGACAATTGAAAGATTAGTTAAGGTATCTTCATTGTTAGGTTGTGAAAATTGCAGTAACATTGACAGAAGTAGAAACAATTTAGGGAAGGAAAAATAACTTACAGTTTCTAATGAATTAATACTGTGGAGATGACCCTGGAATTATCCAAAAGAAACCTGCTTTAGAAGAGTAATGCAGATGAAAGCCCAGGGCTGCTGATGCGAGCAGTGGTGAGTAACAAAGAGGCTGTAATTAAAACCGTGAAAGCAAAGAAATTTTCAAGACCATGAGTAAAAAGAGTACTGGGGACAGAATTTGAAATGTAGAGGGAAAAGAACAGCCAGAAAAAGAAACTGGAGGGATCACTGTCATATGGCAGGAGAAAAATTGTCGACATGTCGTGGAGGCCTGAGGAGGGAAGAAAGGACCCATTAACACTGGGGATCCCCAAATAAGAAGGAAAGAAGGTCTAAGAATAATCCATTACTTTTGACTAGTTGGAGTTGTTATGATATTCAGTAATTTCTGTGGAATGCAGTGTGGAAGCTAGAAAATGTATTCAAAGGAACCCAGCAAAGAAGACCTCATGATGTGAATGAAGTCCCATAGGAAGTCCTCAAAGGAATTATAGGAGAATAGTTTAATCACTAATATACTAAGGTGAAGTGAAGTTGAGGGGTAGCGGTCACCATATCATATCAGACTTTTTTTTTTTTTAGTGGATAATAGGTGAGTAGTGGGCAAAGGGAGTCATGAAATGAATTCAGTTAGAGAGCTATAAATGAATGTTCTTAAATGTTGAAAAGTAAGAAGAACAAGGTTAAAGTATACTATGTTACTTTTTACTGTAATTTTATAAAGACTTGGGCTTTCTATTTTTTCTCTTTCCTTTATGACGTGAACAACAGAGTAAAAGAAACCTGTGATTTTTCCTACATGGTTAAAAAGAGTTTGCTCAGTAAAGGGTAGTAAGGGCAGTAGTTTATTGTTGAGGTAGTTGGAAGAAAGAAAGGAATCAAATATATATGGTTAGGACCAAATACTTTGTATTTGTTGAGAAGAGACAGGGAAGCTAAATTTGATGAATGTTGTAAAAGGGAGGAGATAAATGACTAGTAAATAATTGTGGTTGGGGGAGGTGGTCCTTGAGAGAGGATATGGCTCTTCTGGCATGTGACTATAATAATGGTGGAATTGAATGTTCATAAAAGATAGTAAGGCCTTCAAGCTTCCAGAATAATCAAATGTATGTTAATGTAATCAGGGACGATTTGGGGATCAAGACACAGAGGAAAAGAATAATAGTTGCTAAAATAAATGAGTCCTGGGAATGGTAGAAAACTATAGAAAAGACTTAGAGTATTTGAGCAGTTTTCTCTCAGGACAGTTCAGCAAATGAAAGCCTAGTGTCTACTGTGTTAATGAGCTTAGTGTGGGAGTAAAGAACAAGATAGCATCTGTGATGATGACTAAGCAGGCAGGACTGTGTAACTCTCTCAACCTAAGCAGCTCTCTCTTTATCTCATATATACTGAGGTTCTGCATATGCTTTCGTTTGAAAAATGGGTTCAAGATGAAAGAAAAGTTACATAGGTATTGCAGACAGATGGAACAGCAAAGTACATACTTGCCATTAAACAGTTACTATCCAGGCACAGATGCCTGTTATAGCTTTGTTACTACATACCTTGTGTTCTTCATTGCCAGAGCCCAAACCCAAGGCATAAATGTTAGGACTTGAGTCTCAAAACACTTGCTTATTATAATGGCAGTAATAAGTGTTTACAGAGCTTACATGCTAGTCACTGTACTGTGTACTCTGCATTCATTATCTCATTTGATCTTTACAGTAACCTTTCAAGGTGGTCTTTTATCATCATTTTACAAATGGGCAAAGTGAGGCTCAGAGCCTGGTGTCTAGAGTCACCAAGTCAATGAATAGGGTTGCTGGGACTTGAAGTTGGGTATATGTCTGTCTCCAAAGCCTGAGCATTTGATCATCACCCTGTAAGCCTTATTGAATCTTAATTTGTAACATTTTCTGAGTTTATAAATGTTCTTATATGTCAAAGAACAATAATTTTAAAAATGTAAACATGGTTACATCTTTCAAAATGGCATATAAAATAAAAACAAAGCTGCTCTGATAGCAGTAGTTATGGGAGACCTGGAGCTATGCCTTGTCCCTCTTTCTTGCTCCAGAGGCATGGGTGGGAAATCTTCAGGTTCCTTTGAGCATTTTCTGAACATTATAGCCTTAGAAACAAGGATAATGTTGTAGGTATAATACAGTAGTATTTTTAATTCATTGGTTTTCCATAAAGAGTATAATTCAAAAGGATGTTGAGATAATGTTTTATTTCCTGATTTTAAATTTAAAAAATGTATCACAACTGTTACAGCAGTTTAAAAGAGTGATTAATCTAGTATAGCATTATACAAAGCTTCCTGACTTTGCTTTGTTGGTTTGAGTGTGTTATATTAGTGCTGAAAATAAATCTACAACAGTCTACCTACTTGTTGATATTTTAATAAAACAGCTAATATCTTATGTATATTTGATTTTGATTATATGGAGAAAATGACGGTAAGTAACTCTTTTTCTTTCCAGGGATTGCTTGGCATTTTGTACGGAACCAGTTTTTGCTAGCTTAGCCAATGTTCTAGGTAATTTGGAAAATATACCTTCTTCTGTATCTCCAGACATTAAGGATTATAAGCTTTATGACGTAGAAACCAAGTATGGTTTGCTTCAGGTATGTATTTTTATTCATCGTATGAGTTTTTTCCTTCAAAATTGTTTATGGCTATTTCAAACCTATTAACCATATAAACTACTTGATGTAAGTCTTTCTTTCAATCATTTTGTGTAATTTAAGCATTATTTCTATGTTCCGGAATTCTTCTATATTTTATTGTTAGGCTTAAATTATATTTTAGATATATGAAACATAATATTGGAAAAGGGCACTTACTGATTGCTGATGGGGTGGTTCTCTTGATTTTTTTTTTTTTTTGAGTTTTAAACCTTGTGAATGCATTTCATAAATAAAACATTAAGTTGAAATGATAAAGTACTTAATATAAAATAAAAAATTACATCTTTAACAAAATCATTTAATAGGTGTCAAGAGATACTGTTAGCCTCGTCATATATGTCCACTTTTTCTGATTTTCTTTTCCCTGCTTACCAACGTATCTTCAGCTGTATTAATTTACACAGTAGATTCTTAGTTCCTTGGGGACTGAGATAATTTAATTTATTATTTCTTTATTGACATATAATAAACTTCACATATTCAAAAATAAGTTTTATAAGTTTGACATATATGTCTATGAAGCCATATCACAATCAAGATAATGCACATATCCATGAGGCCTCAGAGTTTACTCATACCCATTATAATCCTTCCCTCCTGCTACTTGCTGTTTTTCTCTCATCCCAGGAAAACACTGACTTGCTTTCTGTCATGATGAATTGGTTTATATTTTGTAAAACTTTATAAATGGAATCATATAATATGTAGTCTTTTTTTTGGCCTAGCTTATTTCAGTCAACCCATTTGTTTTGAGATTGATTCATTGTTATGCATATTAATACTTATTTATCATTTAATAGTTGATCATTGTGTGGTTATACCATAGTTTGTTTCTCCAGTCACCTATTGATGGACATTTGGGTTTCCTGTTTTTAACTATTGCATGTAAGATTGGTATGTACTTTCATGTACAAGATTTTGTATGGACATGGGTTTTCATTACTCTTCTTTAAATACCTAGGAGTAAAATGTTTACATCAAGTATATATATATATATACACACATGTATTTCATTTTTTAAATAAACTGAAAACTGTTTTCCAAAGTGGTAATACCATTTTACGTAAACATTCCCATATATGACAGTTCCATTTTTTTCACATCTTTGCCAAAACTTGGTAAGAGTGGTCTTTTAATTCTAGCCATTCTAATAGATATGCAGTGGTATCTTCTCGGAGTTTTAATTTGCATTTTTCTGATATACACACACACACACACACACACACACACACACACATATATATTTTATATTAAGGTATCATATTGATATACCATCTTATGCTCAGGTTTCACATGAGCAACATTGTAGTTACTACATTCCCCCCTATTATCAAGTCCCCACCACATACCCCATTACAGTCACTGTCTATCAGCATAGTAAGATGCTATAGAGTCACTACTTGTCTTCTCTGTGCTATACTGCCTTCCTCATGCCTCCCCCATATTTTTGTGTGTTAATCGTAATATCCCTTAATCCCCTTATCCATCCCTTTCCACCCACAGTCCCTTACCCCTTTCTCTTTGGTAAACCACTGGTCCATTCTTGGGTTCTGTGTGTCTGCTGCTGTTTTGTTCCTTCAGTTTTTGCTTTGCTGTTATACTCCACAGATGAGTGAAATCATTTGGTACTTGTCTTTCTCTGCCTGGCTTATTTCACTGAGCATAATACTCTCTAGCTCCATCCCTGTTGTTGCAAATGGTAGTATTTGCTATGGCTGAATAATATTCCATTGTGTATATGTACCACATCTTTATACATTCATCTACTGATGGACACTTAGGTTGCTTCCATGTCTTGACTACTGTAAATAGTGCAGCAATAAACATAGGAGTGCGTATGTCTTTTTAAATCAGAGATCGTGTTTTCTCTGGGTAAATTCCTGGGAGTCAAATTCCCAGGTCAAATGATATTTCTATTTTTAGTTTTTTGAGGAACTTCCATATTGCTATCCACAATGGTTGAACTAATTTACATTCCCACCAGCAGTGTAGGAGGGTTCCCCTTTCTCCGCATCCTCACCAACTTTTGTTGTTCCTTGTCTTTTGGATGTTGGCCATCCTAACTGGTGTGAGGTGATATCACATTGTGGTTTTAATTTGCATTTCCCTTGTAATTAGCAATGTGGAGAATCTTTTCATGTGCCTGTTGGCCATCTGAATTTCTTTGGAGAATTGTCTGTTCAATTCCTCTACCCATTTTTAATTGGGTTATTTTCTTTTTAGGTGTTGAGGTGTGTGAGTTAAGATGTTAACCCTTATCAGATATGTCATTTATGAATATATTCTCCCATACTGTAGGATGCCTTTTTGTTCTACTGATGGTGTCCTTTGCTATACAGAAGCTTTTTAGTTTGGTGTAGTACCACTTATTCATTTATGCTTTTGTTTCCCTTGCTCGAGGAGATATGTTCATGAAAAAGTTGCCCATGTTTATATTCAAGATATTTGTGCCTGTGTTGTCTTCTAAGAGTTTTATGGTTTCATGACTTACATTTGGGTCTTTGATCCATTTCAAGTTTACTTTTGTGTATGGGGTTAGACAGTAATCCAGTTTCATTATCTTACATATAGCTGTCCAGTTTTGCCAACACCACCTGTTGAAGAGGCTGTCATTACCCCATTGTATGTCCAAAGCTCCTTTATCATATATTAATTGACCATATATGGTTGGGTTAATGTCTGGGTTTGAGAAGGTAATTGCTGAAAAGTTCCCCAATCTAGGAAAGGAGATAGTCTCTCAGGCCATGAAGATCCACAGATCTCCCAACACAAGGGACCCTATTCTGTTCCATTGGTCTATGGTTCTGTTCCTGTGCCAGTACCAAATTGTCTTGGTTACAGTGGCTTTGTAGTAGAGCTTGAAGTTGGGAAGTGTAATCTCCCCAGCTTTCTTCTTCTTTGTCAGGATTGCTTTGGCTCTTTGGGGTCTTTTGTGGCTCTGTATAAATTTTAGAACAATTTGTTTTAGTTCATTGAAGAATGCTGTCGGTATTTTGATAGGGATTGCATTGAATCTGTAGATTGCTTTAGGCAGGATGGCCATTTTGACAATATTAATTCTTCCTATCCATGAGCATAGGATATATTTCCATTTATTGGTGTCTTTGAGATTTCTCTCTAGAGTGTTTTGTAGTTTTTAAGGTATAGGTCTTTCACTTCCTTGGTTAGGTTTACTCCTAGATATTTTATTCTTTTTGATGCAATTGTGAATGGAATTGTTTTCCTGATTTCTCTTTGTGTGAATTCATTGTTAGTATATAGGACTACAACAGATTTCTTTGTATTCATTTTGTATCCTTCAATTTTGCCGAATTCAGATATTAGTTCTAGTATTTTTGTAGTGGATTCTTTAGGGTTTTTTATGTACAATGTCATGGCATCTTCAAACAGTGACAGTTTAATTTCTTCCCTGCCAGTCTGGATGCGTGTTATTTCTTTGTGTTCTCTGATTGCCGTGGCTAGGACCTCCAGTACTATGTTGAATAAAAGTGGGGAGAGTGGGCATCCTTGTCTTGTTCCCTATCGTAGAGAAAAAGCTGAAAGCTTTTCACTGTTAAGTATGTTTGTGGCTGTGGGTTTGTCATACATGGCCTTTATTATGTTGAGGTGTACTTGCCCTCTATACCCATTTTGTTGAGAGTTTTTTATCATGAATGGATGTTGAATTTTGTCAAATGCTTTTTCAGCATCTGTGGAAAGGTCATGTGATTTTAGTCTATTTTGTTGATGTAGTGGATGGTACAGATGGATTTTTGAATATTGTACCATCCATGCATCCCTGGAATAAATCCTTCTTGATCATGATGGATGATCTTTTTGATGTATTTTTTAATTTGGTTTGCTAATATTTTGTTGAGTATTTTTGCATCTATGTTCATCAGGGATATTGGTCTGTAATTTTCTTTTTTTGTGATGTCTTTGCCTGGTACCATCTGAATATTTTTTCTGGTAAAGTGTTCAGTTCTTTTGCCAATTTTTTGAATGGGTTGTTTCTTTTCTACTACTGAGTTTTGAAGCTTCTTTATGTATTGTGGATACAAGTCCTTTGTTAGATTCATGATTTACAAGTATTTTATCCTAGTCTCTGGCTTAACTTATTATCTTAGCATATAATATTTTTAAATTGTGGTAAAATACATATATTTACCTTTTTAACCATTTTATATGTATAATTCAGTGGCATTAAATATATTTATATTGTTATGCAACCATACCACCATCCTTTATCCAGAATTCTTTTTATCTTACAAAAATGAAGTTATACCCATTAAACAATAACTCCCCAGCCCTTGGCAGCCGCCATTCTGCTTTTCTGCCTGTACAAATTTGACTAGGTACCTCATGTAAGTGGAATCATACTGTATTTTTCCTTTTGTGACTGGTTTATTTCACTTAGCATAATGTCTTCAAGGTTCATCTATGTTGTAACATGTCAGAATTTTTTTCCTTTTTAAGGCTGCATAATATTCCATCCCATGTATTTACCACATTGTTTATTCATTCATCAGTGACACTTTGGTTTCTTTCATCCCTTGGTTATCATAACATGGGTGTACAAATATGTCTTCATACCCTTTTATCAATTCAGTTCATTCATTCATATATCCAGAAGTCAAATTGCTGGATCATATGGTAATTCTATTTTTAATTTTTTGAGTAACTGACATACTGTTTTCCATAATGGCTACACCATTTTACATTTCTGCCAATAGTACAAAAGGGTTCTGTTTTCTCCAAATCCTCACCAACATTTGTTACTTTCCAGAAAGTTTTTGATAGTAATCATCCTAATGAGAGTGGGATAGTATATTGTTTTTGTTTTGATTTGCATTTTCTTAATGGGTAGTGAATTTTAAGCACTTTTTCAGTAATGTCTATCAAGTACTTCACCCATTTCTTCAGGTGTTTGTTTTTTTGTTGTTGAGTTGTGGGAGTTCTTTATATATTCTGGGTATTAGTATGATTTGCAAATATTTTCTCCCATTGTCTGGGTTGCCTTTTCATACTGTTGGTTTTGTCCTATGATGCATGTAAGTTTTTTATTTTGACATAACCAATCTTTGTATTTTTTCTTTTGTTACCTCTGCATTTGGTGTCATATCCAAGAACTTACTGCTAAAGCCAGTGTTACGAAGCTTTTCGAAACGTGATGTTTCCTTCTTCGAGTCTCATTTTTATGTCTTTCATTTAGATGTTTAATCCATTTTTAGTTAATGTTTAATATATGGTTTAAAGTAAGGGTCCAACTTAATTGTTTGGCATATGGGTATCAAGTTTCCCAGCACCCTTTGTTGCAACTTGTGTCCTTTCCCCATTGAATGGTTTTTGTACTTTTGTTGAAAATCATTTGGCCATATATGTTTGAATTTATTTCTGGCCTCCCTATTCCATTCCTTTGGTTTATATGTCTGTGTTTATGCCAGTACCACACAGTACAACTTTGTAATAAGCAGCTGAATGTTTTTCTCCCAGCAATAAAATGGTTCTAGAGATTAACTGAGGTAATTATGTAAAAGCACTTACCAAATTATTGCCTGAAATATATGATATTTATTGTATAAATAAAATAAAAGCAAGTTTTTTCTTATAAAGCTAGCAACATCTTTATGGACTTGAAAAACTTTGCATATTTTATAAATCATATTTAGAGAATTAGCATTTTTAAAAATGTAAGTCTTACATGGATTTCATGGGCTTAAAGATATTAAAATTGGACATTCATTTGAAAAATGTTAAGCCCCTAGTTGCTTATTGATCTAGTCACTAAGGATAAATATTCAGGCAGTTAGGAATAGCAGGTTGCATATCAGGGAACTGTCAAAAATGAAACTGAGCAGATAGTAAAAGGCCTTGTTGGGAAACACTGAAGGATTGTAAGCTGAAGGGCAAATTACTTGGTCTGATGTTCATTTTAGAGCTATCATTCTAGAAGAGTGGAATTTTGGCAAAGGATAGGGAAAACATTCCTACTAAGTAGGTTTATTTCAGAATAACATGTGTAAATTTATAAGTGCTTAGCATAGTGTTTGCATGTAAGAAATAGTTAATGCTAATTAAAAATTTTTTTAAAGTAAAAAATCTGGTAGGCCTCTAGGTGTGGAGTGAAGTTGTACAGAGTGGAGTAGGCCCTGATGTCTGACTGTGGTGATAGAAGGTGGGAGTGGTGTGGAGTCAAAAGTGACTTCCTCCATTTGTTAAGAAGTTAATAAGTCATCATTTGAAATCATTCACCACTTGGGTCCTACACAGGTTCACTGACTTGCTCAAGGTTGCATGGCTAGTCAGTGATGAAGTAGGGACAGGAATCAGTTATCTTCTAAAATAGTACTCTTCACACTTTACTTTTGACTTACCTGCTTGTTGAAATCTGTAAGCGATTTATTTTTTACAGAATTCATCATCATATTTTCTGACTAAGTAAATATTTAATAGTCATCTATATGCCTGGCACGGTTTCTGGGTGCTGAAGACATGGCAGTGAATAAAACAGACATAAAATATTGCCTTTTGGAACATATTCTCATGGGTGAAGAAAGACAATAAAATTAGTACAGTACATTAATTAGATTATAAGTGCTTACGGAGGAAAAAAGGGCAGGGAGAAAGAAACATGGGTCATTTGGTTGGGAAGGAAAAGGGATTTGCAGTTTTAAATGGGATAGGCAGGATATCTATTACTGAAAAGGGGACATAAAGGCCTGAAAAAAGCAAAGAAGCAAGTCATACAGAAACCCAGGGAAAGAATGATCTAGGCAGAGAGAACAGCAAGTGCAAAGTCCCTGAGATAGAATCATGTTCCAGGAATGATGAAATACCTCGTGTGGTAGAGAGGAGTAAACACAGAGATGGTTAATAGGAAACAAGGGCTGAAAACTGATGACTGGTTAGATGCTGTTAGGCCGTAAAACCCAGAAAAATACTTGGACTTTACTCTGAGAGAAAGGAAAAATCTTTGGAAGATAAAAATAGGAAAGTGACATGATCTGAGGTATGTTTTGACAAAATTAGTAGAGCTGCTGTATTGAGAATTGGAGTATGTAGAAGGGTAAGAGCAGAAGGAAAGAGATGAGAGGTAAGTGGCTGCTACAGTAACACAGGTCAGAGATGATGGTCCAGGATGGGGAAGGTGGTAAGACAGGATCAAATTCTAAATACATTTTGATGGTGAAGGTATTGGAATTTGCAGAAGTACAAAATACTTTTTTGTCCAAAGTAACTGGACAAAGAAGTATATAAGAAAACAGAAGTACAAGATACTTTTTGTCCAAAGTAACTGGAAAACTGAGGTGGCCATTAACTGGTATGGGAAGGACTACAGGGAGGAAAGAATTGAATTTTAGGGGAAACTCAGTTTGGGATTCTTCTAAGACTGAGATGCTTATAAAACATTCAAGGTGAGAGAAGAAGTCAGTCAAATAAATCAAGCCTGAGTCCCATGCTGGAGATATTTGGGAGTATTTAAAGCTTATAGATGGTATTTAAAGCTGAGAAGGAGTAGATGGAAAATTCAGAGGTCCAAACATTGAGTGCAGGAGGTTGGTGTGATGAGGAAGAACCAGCAAAATAAAACCAAAAAAAATATGAGGAGGCCAGCAGAAAGCATTGACCAGTGAAATGGTGTCCTTAGAAGTCAGAGAGCATTATTTTTCCAAATTCTACTGGAAACAGCAATCTAGTCTTCATTTTTGTTAACGAATTACATGGTAATATAAGGCACAAAAATACAAATTACCAAATACTAATCCAACGTGAGAATGAGTGAACGTCAGTTAATATTTGAAAACTGAGCACAATATAACTCATAAAAACTGAATTTCAATATGAAGTATAAGTATTTAAAAATATTAAGTAGAATCAAAATGATGAAAGTATCTCTTGATATGTACTATCTGTGCTTCAGCACCCAAAGATTCCCTCACTTTTCTTTTTTTTTCAGTTATCAAAGCATTTATTGTGGTGGAAATTATATTTTCTCCCTTTTAATCTTCCAATGTAGCAAATTAATAGATGGTCTGCCTACAACCGTCTTTGAATTCTTTATGTATAATCCTTTTAAAATATCATCAGATTCAATTTGCCAATAGTTTATTTAGAATTTTTCCCTGTAACATTTTAATGTGATAAACCTATAGTTTCTTCCTTCCTTCTTTTCTTCTTTCCTTTCTTTTTTATTTATTATTTATTTATTTTAATAAGTTACTATTGATATACACTCTTATGAAGGTTTCACATGAAGAAACAATGTGGTTGCTACATTCACCCATGTTATCATGTCCCCCCCATACCCCATTACAGTTACTGCCCAACAGTATACTAAGGTGCCACAGCGTCACTATTTGCCTTCTCTGTGCTGCACTGTCTTCCCCATGATCTCCCCCACACCATGTGTGCCAATCATAATACCCCTCAATCCCCTTCTCCCTCCCTCTCCACCTGCCCTCCCACACCCCTCCCCTTTAGTACCGCTAGTCCCTTCTTGGAGTCTGTGAGTCTGTTGCTGTTTTGTTCCTTCAGTTTTGCTTCGTTGTTATACTCGACAAATGAGGGAAATCATTTGGTACTTGTCCTTCTCCGCCTGGCTTATTTCACTGAGCATAATATCCCTCAGCTCCATCCATGTTGTTGCAAATGATAGGATTTGTTTCTTATGGCTGAATAGTATTCCATTGTGTATATGTACCACATTCCCTAACTTTCCAAAGTTAGAAACTAAACAAATTTGGGTAGCAAAGTGGTTTTATATTGTCTTTTCTTCTGCTTATGTGCTTATAGAAAGGAACTTAATAAATAGTTCTATGGCTTTACAACTGGGTTTTTCCTGCTAATGCTTAGAATGTCCTGGTAACTGGGAATCTTTGTAATTTTACATCTATGATGAAATTTTACAACTATGATGAAATTTTAATTGTTACCTAACCTGTAAAAAATCTTCCATCAGGAGAAGCAGCAATTACGGTTTTTATGAGACATTATTGCAATTGAAAAAAGTTTTATTTAATGTAGACATATCTGTTATTTTTTCCATTTATAGGTTTCTGAAGGATTGTCATTTTTGCATAGCAGTGTGAAAATGGTTCATGGAAATATTACACCTGAAAATATAATTTTGAATAAAAGTGGAGCCTGGAAAATAATGGGCTTTGATTTTTGTGTATCATCAACCAATCCTTCTGAACAAGAGGTAATGAAGGTTTTAGTCTTGTAATTTTTTAAAGCTGTGGGAAGTTGTGATTGCATCTGGAATGGACTAGAGAATTTAAAAGTCTGATTAATGTATAGAAATAGGCTATCTGGTACAATGATATAGTAAATGTATATAGATTTATAGAAAATTTCTAGTGTTCAGCTCATTAATTTCACAGTAGTTAATATTACTTGGGAAAAGGATGCTAGAATTAAACAAATTTGAGAGCTTTTGGGTTGAGTAAGTTTTATTCCTCAGAATGTCTCATATACTACAAACATTGAATGTGTAATAATATTGCCAACTTACTGGACCACAGAATCTTCTGCAGGGAGCATTGTAACAGCAATAGCAATGGTAATAATAGCTCACATTTATTTAGATACTTTTCTAAACACTTTGTATGTATTTACTTAATCCTCACAACTCAATGAGGTATACGAATAATAAAGATGAGTAAATAAGACTCATAGAATAAAATAACCTACCAAAGCTTAGGCAGGTGGTAAGTGGTAAAGCTAGGATTTGAATCCAGTCTTTCAGGTTCCAAAGCATCTATTACTTAGTGATTATGATACCTGCCTGTTATACTTAGGAAAACACTGCAATGTTCAAATTTTTACTATATGTAGTTATTAAAGGAACCATAATTTGACTTAAGATATATTTGTAATTTAAACATTTTTTAAGGGAAACAGAAAGAATGAGTACTGGTTGAGTATATATTATGGGCCAGTCAACTGTGCTAGGTCCATTTTCCATATATTCATTTAATCTTAGAACCACCTTTTGATCCTATTAACTAAATCACGTAGCTAGTTAATACAAGAACAAGGTTTCAAACAGTAATCTATTTGAGCCCATAAAACTTGAAGTCTGTGTATAATAAAACATAGGCCAGAACTTTCCGTATTCATATAGCATCTTAATAATGATAGTTTGTCTTCTGGAAGAGTTCTTACTCTTATCTCTCAATTTGTTGCATGCATTTTCCAGATTTCAGAATTTGAGAATTTTAAGATTGAACATGGTAATGACATTTTTACTTGCATGACTGTGAATTTTAAACTAGATTGCTACTGCTTGATAGTGGTTTGCTTTAATTTGAAATATTTAATCTATGTAATCCGCTTTGTGCTTTCTTATAGCCTAAGTTCCCTTGTAAAGAATGGGACCCAAATTTACCATCATTGTGTCTTCCAAATCCTGAATATTTGGCTCCTGAATACATACTTTCTGTGAGCTGTGAAACAGCCAGTGATATGTACTCTTTAGGAACTGTCGTGTATGCTGTATTCAATAAAGGGAAACCTATTTTTGAAGTTAACAAGCAAGATATTTACAAGAGTTTCAGTAGGCAGTTGGATCAGGTATTTGCCTATAAATATTCGCTTGCATTAAGAATGTATTAAATGTTTGTTTTTTTTTCTAAAATGTATTCAGAAAATTATCTAAAATGAGATGTCTTGTCTTTTAAGTTTGCATAAAATCAACTTAACAAAAGTAATTTTGTAAATAATGGATTAAGGTTTATTACTACAACTTTAATTGTGGCATTTAGTGGAGTGAGTATTGAAATGTGCCTAAAATATTGGGCATTTTGTTATAGGAATAGAAAAAATTTCAGGTATTAAAGATAAGTGTTTTAATTATCTTGCAGCAATAGAATTAGCAATTTGTTCAATCTAAAAATATATTTTTGAGCAAATTTCAAAAAGGTTTCTCAAATGGACTTTTGACAATATAAATGCATGTGTTTTTGACTATTTTATATTGATATTTAATACTGTTACTGTTTTGAATAGTTGAGTCGTTTAGGATCTAGTTCACTTACAAATATACCTGAGGAAGTCCGTGAACACGTAAAACTACTATTAAATGTAACTCCAGCTGTAAGACCAGATGCAGATCAAATGACAAAGGTGAGTACATGTGAATTCCTGCACTAGGTAAGGGGACAAAAAATGAGCTGAAGTAGATTAAGTGCTTGTAAAGCAAGATTTAGTCAGATACAGTCCCCAGATAACATCTGTATTCTTGAATGTGTTAAATATTCAACTTTTAATCTTAAACAGTTAAATAACTTATATATGTAATTGCTCTGATAAAAAATGAGGATTTCAAATAAACAGAATCCTAACAGTAACAAGTAGGTATGCAGAAGTTCTGGACACCCTAAGAATTCATAACCCTCTAATTTATTCATGAAGCATGGATTTTTAATAGGTAAAGATACTCTTTATGCCTTCAAGATATTTTACTTACTTATTTCAATATTTTACTACTTATATAAAGAAAATGTTACTGCCCAGCGAACTCACAAGTAATGATTCTGAAAATTTGAACTAGAAAAGAAAAATAATTGATTATTTCCTTACTCTCTTTTTCATAATTAGAACTTTTTTAAGTGGTCTTTAGCATTTTGCTAAATTGTTTCTGAATATTTTTTCACCATACTGTAGCAGTTTCAGATGAGAAGTATTTTAATATTTATCACAATAATTTTGTTTCCCTGTTTTTAGATTCCCTTTTTTGATGATGTTGGTGCAGTAACACTGCAGTATTTTGATACCTTATTCCAAAGAGATAATCTTCAGAAATCACAGTTTTTCAAAGGACTGCCAAAGGTTCTACCAAAACTGCCCAAGGTTTGTTGATAAGTTTCTTACTATTTTCTGGATTTTAGAATTTAAAATTTGTTTTGACTTACTATAATAAATGTTCCAAAGAAATAAATGTAACTTTGCCTCAGGTACATAAATGACTTTAAAAGCCTGCAGACTGAAGCCAAAAGTTTAATGGACCTTTTTTACATGGTCCAAAAAAAAAGGATTTAAAAAAAACTAGAAGAATACCTGTGCAAACATAGCATTTGGATATTAAATATCATAAGAGAAGTCCATAACCTGTCATGTGTACATCACTGCCCCACCAGCAATGAAGGGGATACTTTTATAGTGATACTAGCCTCTCCAATTCCTTTAACTCTCCCACTATGACTGATTAAATCAGGAATATAATATAGTCTAAACAATATTGGTGAATGCTAAAGAAGGCATTGGTTGGAAAACTAAGTAATTGTTGATTGCAAAAATATCTCCAGTGTTTCATCTATAAGGTAATTTTTCATTATGTGCTGTTTGTCTAGCCCTTTACTTAGATACTATGGAGAATAAAGAGGAAACAAAATACTGTCCTTGCTTAAAGTAAGTGTAGACATGGTTGACATGCTTGAAACAAAAATTAACAATACAGGACAGTGTTTAAGTTGTCTGGTATGATCATAAATAATGAAGGAATTAGAGGAACACATTAGTGAAGGCTAATTATGGAAGGTTTCCCAAAGGAAAGATGACCATGTGTCTCCTCTTATCTGTGACATTCCCAAGTTATGCCTTTTGTCCTGGCATAATTAGCAATAGCACCCCATTTTACTTTCAAAAGTGTCCCAATTTCAACTATAAATTATATAAGCACTTTACCCAAAGGGATTGGATATTTCAGACTGTAACTTCAATGTTAATACTAAAGACCCCCCAAAAAATTTAGTTTTATGAAAATATTTTTGCCTTTCAGCGTGTCATTGTGCAGAGAATTTTGCCTTGTTTGACTTCAGAATTTGTAAACCCTGACATGGTACCTTTTGTTTTGCCCAATGTTCTACTGATTGCTGAAGAATGCACCAAAGAAGAATATGTCAAATTAGTTCTACCTGAACTTGGCCCTGTCTTTAAACAGCAGGAGCCAATCCAGGTATGTATGTAGATATTTTTCTTTTCTATCTGCTGTTATTCAGTGACATTAGTCAGTGATGACTATCATTGAAAACAAAAGGAACGGATATGTGCCTTTTTAAAAACTGACGTATGTATTAGAGACTTTCTTTTCCATTAGTGAAAAGCTACTTTGATTGGTTTGAAGTGAACCATTCCCAAAATTGTAATTAAACTTTGCACATAAGTGTCTAGAGCACTCCATAAATTACTGTCTCAGAAAATAAATTGTAATGAGATTTTGCATGTGTTCTCATTGGCTTTATAAAAATTAAAGGTTTGGGAAAAGAGGTATTTCTCTCCTTCACTTCTAAGTATTTGTATTTTGTTTTGTTCTTCAGGGTCTTTAATTTGTAGATGGCTTATGCCAGTGTTTCTCCTTATTTTATTGCTAATAAATAGTTTTACCAGAACAGGGAAAATGCTTTCAACGCCATGGAAGTAATATGTGTGTATATTGTTAAGTAGAGCATATAATTAGTCTCTGATGTAGACTCTCTTACAGTATTTATTTGCCAGATTAAAGGTAGTCTTGGATTTAAAAGCAGAGAGGTCACATACCTGGGTTTGAATCTGGCCTTCTTCATCTTCTTAGACTTGGACAAATACTGCTCTCCTAAAGGCACCATTCTGCTCATTTCTAAAATGAAAGGGATTGTTGAGATAAGGTGAAATTTTCTGGCACTTAATAAACATTACTACATGTTTCTGCCACTGCATGGCAATAGCTTATTAGTAAACTATCAACTACCTGATTTAATTGTTCTGTGACTAGCTGTTTGTGTTTCTTCCCTTGAAGGGAGGTGAAAGAAGGAAGTCCATGGTGGTAAGGCAAGAATTCCTATGGCTCAGGAAGGGGCAACTGAGGGAACTGTGGACTTTGAAGCAGAGTTCCCCAAACATGGTCCAGGTGTCGAGGGAAAGGAATGGAGCCATGTTAATTAAGCTATGCATCAGTGAAGATAGTTTTCTAAGGAACCTATCGTCTGAATTCTTATTTGCCTCCCTTCTTTGGTATTCATTTTTCCCTTAGTATTCCAGCTGAAAATTCCTTCTGAAAAATTTTAACTGATTCTTGGAAAACTTAAGTGTTCTGCATGAATAGAAAGGGTAATTTGTTCCTTATAATTTAGGTATGTGGTGGCAGGTAGGTGAAAAAACAAAAGATCAGGGAAAACTGAAAATGTTTCTAGAATTTTTCCTGACACTCCTTTTCATTTCTGTACCTTTTCTTCTTCTCTTGAACTTCATAGAAGATGAGTGATGGAATTTACTCCTTTGGAACATCTGCATTTGCTGCTCTCAGGCTTTTGTTTTTTTACCCAGTAACTTTCCAGATAGTTGGTGCCTGTGATATGTTACTGAAGATAGGTGAGAGTTAGGAAATTAGTCCTTATTTAAATGTTTAAACTGAGAGCAGATGTTAAATATTGTGCTTCCAGAAATGTAAGAGATTTGATTTGTATGATTTTGTCTTCCATGCCTTCAGGCTAGCAACATGGTGAGTGTCAAAATACATAACTTGTTATTTTGAAGATACTTTAAATTCTGGCATGTATAAAATCTTCTAAAGATTCTAGACTTTAATACATTGTTCTTTTTTTCTGTCCAGATTTTGTTAATTTTCCTACAAAAAATGGATTTGCTACTAACCAAAACTCCACCTGATGAGATAAAGAACAGTGTCCTACCAATGGTTTACAGAGCACTAGAGGCTCCATCCATTCAGATCCAGGTATAATATTTGATTTTTTGTTGTTGTTCATGATTATTTTGATTCTTAAAGCAGAGGAAAGATACATTTTCAGTCTAAATCAAAATCAGTGTGTTTGAGTTTTTGTTTCCATCTCGTGTTCTTAGGCTTTTCATCCTGTCTCCTCTTAGGGAAGAACTCTCCCCTCCTTTAGCTAAGTGACTGAGACATAATTTAAGATTTGCCTCTTTGTAGCCTACTGCCAGATTATACAGCATTATGTGCTCACACGATCTCCTTCTGGGTGCACCCTTGCACATCCTGTCTTTTCAGGTAAAGGCTGATCTTCCCTGAGGAGGCTCTTTCTGGTAACATGAGCACGGTATTTCACTGACTGTCCACACTTGTCCTTTCTCCTTTCCCATCTGTCGAAAATGTCCCTTCAGTGTAGCTTGTATTTCTCATCCTTATTAATTATTCCCATTTCAAGTAGGTATAAACATGTAACTCTCTTATATCTGTCTTTTGGAAATCTGGTAATCAGTTTAAACAAATAAAATACTTCCTAGTATTTTAATAACAGATTCTTAGTAATCAATTCATTTCCATCTACCTAAAAATGAATGTCTTTAAATTTACCAAATATTGTCAATAACTCCTTCCCTGATACACATTTATACTTTCATTTTCTTCATAAACTGTTCCCCTGTGCTTTGCTTGTAAGGGTCATTCTGCCCTTGTAAGGTATCAGAGATGTATATTTTTCAGGCAGTTAGTTTTCAAGCCATTTTTTTGTTCTTTTCCTTATGTCGTTTAACCCCCTTGTCCCCAGTCATTCCCCCCTTTTCTTCTGTTATCATCATTCAGATTTCTCAGTTCCAGCCATTTATAATATGGTGCCATTTGTTAACAAGAATGTTTTAAAATAACTTTTTTCTATTTCTGTGAGTTATACTTAAGTTTAAGTTTCAGAGTTGGAAATACTTAAAATAAAAGGGAAATTAAAATCCTCTCTCACAGATGCCCATAGTTAATATTTCCAGATATATCCATCCAGTCTTTTTTCCTAAGCCTGTTGACAGACACGTATACATATATATTTTAAACATTGGGATTATATCTTACTGCTTTTTCTCCTCAATATTATTAAATGATTGTTTAAAATGTATTTTTAAATGTTTGTATTATATTGTATCATATGGATATATGTAACAACTAAGAAATTCCTTAAGAGGAATAAATTTACATGACTCTGTGCTTGGTTTTCCCTTATGGTGAAAGGCAGTAAAACTTAGGTGTTCCTGTTTTTAAAAATAAATGAAGAAATTTGTTATCAGGGCAAGAAATTAGGAAGAACACCAGGGAATTTTGGTACCACATAATAGTTACATAACCTGGCATGATTTTGAGTCACGTCTTCTGAGCCTGTTTGCTCATCTGTAAAGTGGACGACTGATAACTATTCGTTTTTCAAATAGTTGTTGAAAGGACCAACTAATGTAACATACATAAAAATTAATTGCAAGCTGTGTGACAAATTAGCCATACAAATGCGAAGTGTTTTTAATATGAGAGAAAAGGTGAGAATCTTTCCCTAAGACTGATCTTATTTTTTTTTAAATAGGAACTCTGTCTAAACATCATTCCAACCTTTGCAAATCTTATAGACTACCCTTCCATGAAAAATGCTTTGATACCAAGAATTAAAAATGCATGTCTACAAACGTCTTCCCTTGCTGTAAGTTATTGCATATTTTTGTTTTTCACTTCTCATTAGTTTAAATCTTTTCTTATTGTTTAATAAGCCTTTTATAGTTCATGTATTTTTGTCTTGGCTATAGGTGACCTATACATAGCACTATAAAAGGGGGCAGTAGCTATATATAGTTTTCCCTGAAATATAATTTTATAATATTGCATTCCTGTACCTTACCTTTGAGTGCTTCAACAGAAAATTTGAAAAAAAAATTTTCTTAGTCTTTTTCTGCTTTAATTCATGATTTATTTTGTTGGTAGTTTAAAAATAATCATGAGAGTTTAACTTGGTGTACAAGTCTAAAAATTTTTTGAACAGCTCCCTTTTATAGACTGCCTTTATTTTCAGTCATCTCTAAATTTTTTCATCCCACCTTAAGTTGCCTACTTTCAAAAAAAGTAAAGGGCACAATAAAACAATAAATTAATAAGAAAACAAGTCGGTGGGGGGTTGGTGGGGGGGAAGATAGTACTAAAAATCTAGGCCAAGTGTAATTGCTTCCTTGTAATAAAAATTTTAACACTAAGTTACTTGGTAGATGAGGTAGAATAAATACACAAAGGTATTGCACCAACTCCTATTGGCGTTTCCAATCTTTTCTCTAACACAAAGCCATAAGAATGTATCCCACTGATACTTCTTTGCAGAAGTAACATTGAATACTCTATTCAAATAGCAGCATTAGAAAAGAGGGAGAAATGTCTTTCCTTTAGTTCTTTATATTGATGTTTGATAATGGTCATATTATTAAATATGCATTTTGTAAAGATAGTCCTTTTGGAAATCTCACCCATATTTATTTGGTGAAATGTAGACTTAAATAAAAATAAATAATTGAGCTTTAGAGAATTATAGGCAACAGTAATTTAAATGATATGATTTTACCTTATAGTTGTCTAATCCATTTTAGTTCATGTTTTTTGGTAGAAAGGCTCTGAGATGGAAAAAAACTACCATTGTTTACTAAAATGAGCAAGTATGGAATGAAGTCAAGAAATCTGAGTTTTTATTCTGCTCTGTTATTAACTGTTCCTTCCCCTTGGGCAAGTCATTGTACTTCTTGGAGTCTCTTTCTTGAATGTTAAAAGGATTTGAAATGCAGTCCCTTTCTCTGAAATTTTCTAATTTTATGGTTCAATTTTTAAAATTGGTAATAATATATAGCTTAAAATTAAGTTTTCAAAATGTCCTTAAAAATTGCATAAGCTATAATTTCATGGCAGCATAAATTTATTTTAGCATACATTTTGTCAAAGTACATGTTAGAAGTTCAGTTTCTAAGTATGTATGCAGAGTGAAATGGGAAGCATGGATATTTAAATTAAATGATCTGTATTAATGTCCAGGGTTGTTTATACCTCTTTTTAAGATCTAACTGAGCCTCTAAAGGCATGTTGTTTATAAGGAGTTACAGTGAATATATTTCAAAGAGTAATTCTGGAATGATTTGCATTTTGTATACCACATTAAGTTCTCCTGCCTTTAGAGTAGCAAATATGAGTTCCTGAATCGCAGTCATAGACATAGACCTCCAAGGTTTAAAAATTCTAACTATGAAATTCCAGAAACATGAGTCCTGAGTTACATTTGTATTTCAATACTCTTTCTTGAAAATGTAGAAAAATAAATTCTACAGTTAGGTGAAATGCTCTAAGACTCTATTTTTTCTTGACTTATATGACTAATATTGTACACATTGTAAAAGAAAATTAAGCCAGTATTTCTGGTTTTTATATACATACACACACACACACACACACACATACACACACAATATGAATTTGGCAATTCCTTTTATAAAATGACTTTAAGAGCAAGTTTAAATACCTTTTTGCATTTATAATATCCCTAGTGTTTGAATTTCAGAAAACAATTCCACTTTATTTTTCAGAAAAATTTTTTTCTCTTTCTTGGAAGAAATATGGTGCGTTTTTAACCAACTATATTGTTCTCTGCTTTTCTTAGTTAACTTTTTTTTGAAAACCAGGGTTTTACTGCTGTTATGATCCTGACTCAAAGTATTATATCTTAAATTCTAGCTAAAAAATAGGGTTTGAAAAAGCAGAATAATCAAGTGACTATTAAGTAGAATTTTGAAAAAAAGAGAGTTCTTAAATATCACGTTTTAGTAGCTGTATTAAAGATATATTTAGAAACAGAAGACTTTATGTAGAACAAATATAGATATTGTTCACATGTCATTAAAATGTTTATTTAAAAAATGAATTGAACCTGAGTTAAGAGAAAAATAATGGGAGCCCAGTAAAATTGATCTCTTCATGGGAGAATGTTTGTCCTTTTTATATTTCAGATGTCCCCAAAGAAATACTCTTAGTAAACACATAATACAGCTTCTCAAATCCTAATCACTTTATTTACAAGATACAATATTGAAGTACTTTTACCTTTAGCTAATTAGTGTTCTAGTAAAGCAATCATAAATTCTTCCTGAAACAAGTCAGGGCATTAATAAATACATGACTTTCCTATAGTAATGAGGAATAAGAGCTTTTATACCTACTTTTATTCTTGAAATTTTAACATTTATCTCCATGAAGATCAAATTTACACTTAAATATTTTGTTCTAGATTGCAAAGACTTTAAATGACTAATGCACTTTATCTCTTTTTAATAGGTTCGTGTAAATTCATTAGTGTGCTTAGGAAAGATTTTGGAATACTTGGATAAGTGGTTTGTACTTGATGATATCCTTCCCTTCCTACAACAGATTCCATCCAAGGAACCCGCAGTCCTCATGGGAATTTTAGGTAGCTGAAAACTTAATGTTATATGAAACTACTTTATCATTTTACAGGCATGCAAATGAATTTTCCAATCTATAAAAGTATTGTACTTGCCCTTTTTGTAATAGCATTTAATAGTTGGAGAATGTTGGGATAAATGCCACGATGTAACTTTTCTTTGTGTACATTTTAGCAAAAGCAGCAGAACCTTGACATTTACAAAGGAATAAGACATTTTGGAATCCTAGGTTCACAAATATCATGATAGCATATAGTTTTCCCTGTAAAATGGTACCAAATAGGAGAGGCAAATAAAGCTACTCGAAATACTGATATGAGTCTTAATAATAATACCTGATGTTTATTTGATTCCCAGTTTGTAGAAGGCACTATGCTGAGTATTTTCTCTGCATGATCTTATTTTGTCTGTTCCAAAACCAAAGGGAATAGGTATTCTTATTTCTGTTTTACAGTAAGGAAACCGAGGCTCAGAAAGGTAAAATAAGTTATTCAAGATTACACAACTGATAAGTGATAGAGTTGGTTTTTAATTTTGATATGTTTTACTATTAACCAGGATGTTTCATTGCTGAATGATGTGCTGATGAAATCTTATAGTGCATTCTATTCTGTCAGCATAATTACAAATTAATTCTGTCAAGAAACTCTGATATTGTATATAAATAGTTAAAGCTGTGAAAATCCTATCTGGAAATGGCTGGGGATCTGCTGAACTAATAGGAACAGACATAGCTGTAGAATCACAAAAATATTGGCAAGTTCACTTTTTACTAAATTTGAAGTTCTTCGTTAACTTTGAAGAAAAGCTGTTACTCAGCCATGTATTTTTGACACCTACTATATGGTGCCTGATCTATACAGTCTTCAGTAAATATTTGCAGGAAGTCAAGAATAGACCCACAAACCAGTTGGAACAGAATAGAGACTCCAGATATTAACCCAAATATATGGTCAATTAATATGCAATAAAGGAGCCATGGATATACAATGGGGAAATGACAGCCTCTTCAACAACTGGTGTTGGCAAAACTGGACAGCTACATGTAAGAGAATGAAACTGGATTATTGTCTAACCCCATACACAAAAGTAAATTCAAAATGGATCAAAGACCTGAATGTAAGTCATGAAACCATAAAACTCTTAGAAAAAAACATAGGCAAAAATCTCTTGGACATAAACATGAGCAACTTCTTCATGAACATATCTCCCTGGGCAAGGGAAACAAAAGCAAAGAACAAGTGGGACTATATCAAGCTGAAAAGCTTCTGTACAGCAATGGACATCATCAATAGAACAAAAAGATACCCTACAGTATGGGAGAATATATTAATAAATGACATATCCAATAAAGGATTGACATCTCAAATATATAAAGAGCTCATGCACCTCAAAAAACAAAAGGCAAATAATCCAATCAAAAATGGGCAGAGGATCTGAACAGACACTTTTCCAAAGAAGAAATTCAGATGGCCAACGGGCACATGAAAAGATGCTCCACATCGCTAACCATCAGAAAAATGCAAATTAAAACCACAGTGAGATATCACCTCACACCAGTAAGGATGGCCACCATCCAAAAGACAAACAGCAAATGTCAGTGAGGATGTGGAGAAAGGTGAACCCTCCTACACTGCTGGTGGGAATGTAAATTAGTTCAGTCATTGTGGAAAGCAGTATGGAGGTTCCTCAAAAAACTCAACATTGAAATACTATTTGACCCAGGAATTTCACTCCTCAAAATTTACCCTAAGAATGCAGGATCCCAGTTTGAAAAAGACATATGCACCCCTATGTTTATCACAGCACTATTTACAATAGCCAAGAAATGGAAGCAACCGAAGTGTCCATCAGTAGATGAATGGATAAAGAAGAGGTGGTGCATATACACAATGGAGTATTATTCAGCCATAAAAAGAAAACAAATCCTACCATTTGCAACAACGTGGATGGAGATAGAGGGTATTATGCTCAGTGAAATAAGCCAGGCAGAAAAAGACAAGAATCAAATGATTTCACTCATATGTGAAGTATAAGAACAAAGAATAAAACTGAAGGAACAAAACAGCAGACTCACAGGACCCCAGAATGGACTAACAGTTACCAAAGGGAAAGGGACTGGGGAGGTTGTGTGGGAAGGGAGGGACAAGGTGGGGAAATGGGGCATTATGATTAGCAGACATAATCAAGGGGGTGGGGGGCACAGGGAGGGCTGTACAACACAGAGAAGACAAGTAGTGATTCTACAGCATCTTACTATGCTGATGGACAGTGACTGTAATGGGGTATGTGGTGGGTGGGGACTTGATGATGGGGGGAGTCTAGTAACCATAATGTCACTCATATAGTTGTAGATAGGTCAACAAGTAATTTATCATGGACCTCTGTAGACATAGAACTTTTGGGATATGGTATGAAACTTTTGAGCTCAAGGAAATTAGTCATGTTAAGAAGGAGTTGGGCATAGTGGAAAGAATTCTAGCCCAGTTCTGACTGGAGTAACTTTGTTAATTCCTGGATAAACTGAAAAGTTTCTTCAATCAAAGGAGGAAAAAAATAACATTATTATAGGAGTCTTTTGAGAATTCAGTGAGACCACCAAAGGGAAAGCAATGAGCATAGTGCCCAGCAAATAAGCATTTAGTAGGCATTCAATAAGTTATTCTTTGCCTATATAATTGAAGTGTACATAAACAGGAGAATAAGAGGAAATGGTGTGTTCCAAAGCTATGGATTATATACAAAACATAACAAAAGCATTGAGAGGATGAGGAGCAGATGTGCTCAGTTCACCAAATGAAGGCTTTTTAAAATAGGTGTAACAAGCAGAGTCTTGAAGTTTGAATAAATAGGTGAGACACAAGGGAAGGATTGTGTAGAGTTGAATTAAATTATTAAGGTCCAAACATGTTGAGTCTGATTGGTTAAGGAAATGAATAAGATGTAGGACCTATATTTACAGACTTTGAAATAGATGTCTCAGGTTTGAGTTGAGAGTGAAATTTATATTCAGATGTTTTCAGATAGAGACACATTGTGTAACCTTACTGCTGCATTGTAAGAACTGTACCTAGTTCTTATAGGCTGTTAATGTCACACTATCATTAAATGTGCTCTTAAGCCAAAAGAATACAGAATAAATATGTCATGGTGTTTAAATCCAGACTGATGATAAAGCTGAAATTATCCTGATCCATATATAAGAACATTTTCATTCTAAGCACTGGTAAGGAAAAATTTATAACTATACTGATTATCAAGAGATTTCATGTAGATCCTAATTTATTAATTTGTGGTGTTCAATATAAAATTTGTCTCATTGTTTTCTTTCAGGTATTTACAAATGTACTTTTACTCATAAGAAGTTGGGAATCACCAAAGAGCAGCTGGCTGGGAAAGTATTGCCTCATCTGATTCCCCTGAGTATTGAAAACAATCTTAATCTCAATCAGGTGGGAGTAGTTTTGTGCTTTACTTAGCTTGCGGTTTTCTTGGCATTAAATAAATATATTGTGTATAAATATTGCTAAAACAAAGAAATATATGCCACAGAGTTGAAAGAAGTAAGTTTGCAGATTCAAAGTAAGGAGGTAGAAGGATGGATTATTGAAACTCTTATTGGGAGATAGTAAATGAGCAGAATGTTTACAAATGTGTAGGATCTGGGACTGTTTCAAATTTGGGGCTCCAAAGTGGACATGAGCAAAGAAAAAATTAGTGTGATATGTCTGGTATATGTTTTCATTATTTATTGCTGTGTAACAAAGCATCACAAATTTGCTGGTTTATAAACAACATTCATTTATGATCTCACAATTTCTGTGTGTTAGCCACGCCAGGGGGGAATGAATTCTCTGCTCCAAGTTTTTCACAAAGCTGCAATCGAAGGCCAAGGTCTCATCTGAAGGCTCATCTGGGGAAGGATTTGATTCTCAGCTCACTTAGAGGGTTGCTGGCATAAGTCAGTTCCTTGTGGGCTATTGGACTGTTTGGGCCTCAGCTCCTAGCTTCATGGACCTTTCCAACATGGCAACTTGTTTCATTAAAGCCAGAAAAAGACAATCTGTTAGAAAGGTGGAAGTTACAGTCTCTCTTACTGTAAATAGGGAAAATGACCTCCATTACCTTTGTTGTATTATATTGGTTACAACCAAATCACAGGTCCTGCCCATTCTCATAGATAGGGGATTACACAAAGGAATGAGTAGCAGAATGAGGAGATAATCGGGGACAATTTACGGCCTATCTGCCACAGGGAGTGAATAATCCAGTTTAAGAGATAACCTATAATATAGTAGGGGCATCATGGGAGAAAGATAAATTGACACTAAAATAGGTGGACTTTAAATGCCTGTCTGTGTTAGGTATTTGAACTCTCAGGATATGGTAAGTGTTTGAACAAAGGAGTAATGTGTTTAGAGATTGTAACAGAATTATCTTTTGGCATGCCTCTATAAGTAGTTATCACAGCTATGTGCTATGTGTGATTCTTCCATTATAGTTTATTCTTCATTTTGTTCTCAGCATTTAATGCAGTTTCAGAAACAAAAATACTGAATTGAGAGGAAATTTGAGGTACAGAGTTATGACAAGATTTTTTTTTCCCCCCACCAAATGTGTTCAATGAAGTGTAGTGGAAAGGACTGGGAAGGGTTACTGTCTAAGAGTGCCAGAAATGGATAGGCAGGCGAGATTTGGAATTAAGGTTTAAATTAATTTGGAATTAAGCGTTTAAATTAAGGTTAGGATAAAGGATTAGATTAGGATAAGGAATTAAGGATTGGAATTAAGAGTAGTACAGAAAGCAGAAAACTGGGAGTTAGGCAAGAGAGCTTTTATTACAGTGGGGAGTGCTGAGTGAACAGTTTCAGAGTTAGATAAATTTGTAAAATTAATCAGATCTAAAATTTCATTTGAAGTGGTAAGGTAAGCTCCTGAAAGTTTGTGTCCCTAGATTTCAAGTTTTTGGCTTCATAGTTTCTTCAAATCTTAGATGGTAGGATTGAAGTTTTGATTGGCAAAAAGGGAAATGGGGAGTATTAGGGAAGAATGGGATGATAATATGCCTAAGCTTCAATTTTTGGTCATTTCTGTTCTCAGTTCTCATATTTATGATTGAGGGTGTTTTTAAATGTTCCCAAATGCTAATTTTGGGATATTAATTCCATTTGAAATGTGGTCTTAATTTTCTTCAGCTTTATGGTTGATTTTTTAGGGGTCTGTTTTCATCAACAAATACTTTGAGTCATATCTTATGGTATTTTACAGTAGTTAGCATGGGTGTTGTCTGCTTTGCTGTTCATTTCATGGATAGGGTTCCTAATTCAAGACTACCCTCTTCTGTCAGTTCTGATTTAAAATAATCTACCTGTATTTGCATTATGTCGAAAAGATAAAGTAACTCAGGAAAATACATTTTTAGCATTTGATTAAAAAACAGCAAAAACCACATAGCAATCAAAACACAGTTGCAACTTGTGTTGGGGGAGTGTTCCTAAGACTACTGGCAGATTTACTGATTCACTAGGAGGGCTGACAGGCCTCAGAATATCATTGTATCCATGGATATGATTTATTATAGCGAAAGGATATAAAGTGAAATCCACAGAGAGAGAAGGCTCATAGAGGAAACCAGGCTCAAGCTTCCAGTGTCATCTTCTGGTGGAATCATACAAAATGTGCTTAATTTCCTGCACAGTGAGTTGTGAAAATATATGTGTGAAATGTTGCCAACCTGGGAAACTCATTAGAGACTCAGTACTTGGACTTTATATTGGGCACTGGTCAAGTAGGACCCTCTGCTGAGCATGTACTCAAATACCAGAATCCCAGAAGGAAAGCATCTGTTAAGCATAAAACATTCTTTGTACAGTTTAGGCACAGTGAGTCACTGTCATGGGTAAATGGTGGGAACCCACCTAAAATCTGAGTTCCTGGAACCAGCCAAGGTCCAACCCTGCAAGCAGGCCTTTCCAGGGATAGCACTACAGGCTTACTGTGGTAACTCTTCTGCACCAGCTACATGCTACAGTATGAATGAATCTCATAAATGTAATTTTGAGCAATGAAGCAAGACACAGAAGAGAATTTGCTGAATGATTCCGTTTATAGGATGTATAAATAGATTCAAAAGTATACTGCTAGAAGTCAAAATAGTGTTTTACTCATAGGATGAAGCGGGGGAATGATTGGAAGGGGACACAAGGAAACTTCTGAGCCACTGCATCTGTCTACTGGTTAAATTCTGTCTACTGGTTGTGAATTTTTTGAGATATGCATTTATATATGTATTTTTCTGTTAGTATGTTGTAGCTTACTAGAAATTTAAAAAAAAACAGAGTCATGGTAAATTGCTAAGGAAATATGCCTTTTAGTATTCTCATAGTAAGACAAAGGATAGATAAACAGTTGATAGAGAATGGTGAGAGTCAGTATAATGTAGAAAAGAACACAAGCTTTGGAAATAGACTTACAATGAATTCTGATTCAGCCATATAAATTATAAGTATCTCTGAGTAACTTGCTTTCTGAGTCTGGGTTTCCTTATTTCTAAAATAGAAATATTAAAAAACCTACTTTGAAGAGTTATAAGGATTAATAAAATAGTGTACCATATGTTTAAGCAACAAGCACAAAAATATAGTTACAAAATTAGTGGAGGGGAAGAAAGGAGTTTTTAAGTGCTTCCTGTAATATATGGTGTTACTCAAATACATGGTTTATGGTGATACTGAAGTACCATAAGAATTATCATTTAACCAAAGTTGAACTGAAGTTTCAACTACGTTGTGACATGGTGTTAGATATGCTTTGTGAACTTTTTCTAATTATTTGTAAGTTAGATTATGTACATTTAATATTTCTACTATTAGAAAACCATCAAACATTTTAGAAAACAAGATTTATTTTATCCATTTTTATGGAATCTGAATAAACAGTAATTTTATGCATTATCAAGTGGATTGTTACCAGAAATACAGAAATTCAGATGGTCAATTTTGGCATTCTAGGAAAGTCAGTATGTAATAATTGCTGGAGATGAATTTATATAAGACCCCTGAATAATAGCTTAAGACAACTCAGGATATAGAACTCATTAAGACATGTTTTCTGGAACTTAAAAGCCTCATGAACTGTGTCACCACCATACAAAGATACTGTAGAAGTCTACTGTGACATACTGAGTTTAAAATACTATTCTTGTGATGTCAGTCCTATGAATGGCTCATATTTCAATAAAAATAGTGTACTATGTATCTTATTAGATTACTTTTGTTGCTAACTTGAAATATTATAACCATATCAATTTCTTCTTATACCAGTTCAATTCTTTCATTTCTGTCATAAAAGAGATGCTTAATAGATTAGAGTGTGAACATAAGACTAAACTGGAGCAACTTCATATAATGCAAGAACAGCAGAAGTAAGTATGTTGTATGTGAACTGCATGTGGACCAGGCGTGAGATTAGAGTGATCTTATGATTGATTTTCTGAAATACAGACTACAAAAATTGATGGTTTCAATATGACCATATGTAAAACATAAAAAAATTTTTCCAACACATCAAGTGGAACTGAGTTAAAATAGAATGTTGTTGAAATTCTAATGTCATTTCTGAGTACTAAAATGTAATATCATATAATGTCAGCATTTTCTCTACATAAAGAAAATTCTGTTTTTGAGACTATCTCTTGTCAGCATTAGCCACTAGTATTGTATATTCAGGGGACTGATCCCCAAGCACACTACTTACAATATTTTTCAAATCTGTGATATCTTAGTGTTTTGATTTCTCCCTTTCTCTTTTCTCTAACCCAAGAAGTATTTATAGATAGTCACTTCATACATAGTAGCACAACATCCATCTCTTTTCTTTTATTTTTAGGGATAATTTTTAAATTGTTTGCAAAATGTTAGTATTCAAAGGACGAAGGGAAAGGTGAAAATTATTCACCAGAGAATGCCAGTTTATTAAAATCACATCTCCACTATATTCTTTGCCCCGGAGAAAAACAAATGATTTTGAGGTGCTGTCAAAGTTTAATCCTGAGCCAACAGACATCTGAAAATCAATCAGTAAATTGGTATCAATCATGAGCGTAGTCCCCAAATAGGAACTTTTTAACTTCTGCCCCAGAGTAAGATGAAGGCAGAGTAAGATGTGGGAGTAAATATGCAAAGTATAGAATTATGTGAAATAGTCCTTTGTACATTCTAAGTATTCTGTGATACATATATTTATGATGTTTGGTGGATTGACTATTAATATAGGAACCCTGAAAAGTAATTTTTAAAAATTTCTGACAGATTTTTAATATCTAGTATTTGTACTTGAGATGTAAATGAACCTTCTCGTTTTCTTTTTCCTATCTAAGTCGTATGTATTTTTCAAGGCATAGATTTGGCCCACATCCTGGTGATTATATTGTTAGAATCACAGATTCTGAACTTAATCAGATTAAATTCCCCATATTGTACCTGGTCTCTCAGTGAACTATAAGCTCTCTGATGGTAAGAACCTTGCTTGCCTGGTTTTATGACACCCTGAGTAAATTCTCCAGTAAATCTCAGGTATTGAGTTTTTAAAAAAGCCTTGTGTACAGATACTAATTTTGGGGGCAAGCACACATTAGTTGTAGTTAATAATGAAAAAGATTATGACTCCTTAAAGAATGAAGTTATAATTTGTCTAGGTTCTAGTGAATTCCATGTGGATGAACTATTTTTAGTATGAGTTTTAAAAATATGCATTTCTTTTTATTGCTTTGCTATAATTCAACTGTCTCCTGCAGATCTTTGGATATAGGAAATCAAATGAATGCCTCTGAGGACACAAAAGTTACAAATGTTGGTTCTCAGGTAAGACGATACTTAGATTATTTTAATTTTTGTAAAGGGTGCTTGATAATGTGCTTCATTTGATGGGCTTTTGATCTTTAGTAAAATAAATTTTTTGACATCATTCAAGCAGTTGACTTTTTATATTTCAGCAGATTGACAAAGTCTTTAACAACATCGGAGCAGACCTTCTGACTGGTGGTGAATCAGAAAAAGAGGATGGTTTACAAAATAAACATAAAAGAGTAAGATTCTTTACTGTTTTTTTAGTACTCATATTGTGGGACTTCCTGTAAACCACAGATTTTTGCTAGGAAATACTATTTAGCATCTTAACAAGAAACATTGTTTGATTATCTTCATGAAATTTAGAAGTTATCCTTGGAACATGACCCAACCCATGTTGAGAATAGATACTTAAGAATTTTAGCTTCTTCCCATAACACTCAGCCTCCTACATCTTAACATTTCTGGGTTGTCTGACTCCTTTGTCTTTTCTGCTGCATTTTTGCCAGTTATACCATTGACAGATTCCACTGTGTTTCTTCTCTGCTTCTGATTTTGAATAATAAACTATAAAGTGGTACTTTCCAATTAAACTGTTGGTTGGCATCCAATATAAAAAATAGATTTGAATTTCTGCTGAGGGCAATTTTCTTCTTTTCGGTCAACAAATATGTGTACCTATATGTGAAAAGCCAGTGAGCTACTGGATACTGTTGTTTACAAATTTGTAAGAAAACATACTCTAAGCTTGTAGTTTAGCGAGGTAGTAAGAGAAAAAGAAAAATGCTGAATTTGATATATATATTAACAGTGAACGAGACTGTTTACTTCTTCCTTAGCTTTTTGGTTAGTTCCTAAAATATTTTTGGAGCAAGGTAGATTAGAGTTGAATGAGAATCTCCTATTTTATAAAATGAAATCACCTATTCATATTCTCATTTTCTGGAAAAATGATTCTAATGAATGGTTTAAAAATAATAATTTTTCATACTAGAAATATTGTAGCACAGATCCTGTGAGCTTCTGTCTAAAGTTAAATTTTACAATAATTAGAAATAAAACTTAACTGTGGCAATCACCAATGCAAGAGGAGTTTGTAAACTATTTGGTATTGTCAAATAGACCAAAACATACTTCACACAAAAAAAAGAACTCTTCTGTTTTCCAAGTGGAATGATGAAGTTGCCAGTTGATTTTTCTTTTTTTTTTTTTTGTTTTAAGGCATCACTTACACTTGAAGAAAAACAAAAATTAGCAAAAGAACAGGAGCAGGCACAGAAGTTGAAAAGCCAGCAGCCTCTTAAACCCCAAGTGCATACACCCATTGCTCCAGTCAAACAGGTCAGAGTTCATTTCTGTTACATAATGTCAAGCATATTATACTTTAGGAGTAAATATAGAACTTAGTCTACCTATTGTTTTGCATGAAAATGCATTTCAAAGAATACCTTAGTATATAGTTACTAACAAGTGTGGGCATTAAGAATTTTTCAACAACTCCTTAATAGCCTCCTCATATATATATATACATATATACTGTTTCATGATAGTGCCGTCTTACCAATACAGAGGAAGCTAGATGAACAGGGAGGGTTTCTTAAAAAATATTAGATCTTAAAGGTACTAAATCAACTCTGTTCACTTTGAAAAGATCAGGAATATTATATTCATACGTTTATGTATTTTCAAGCAAAAAGTAACTTTCAGTTAGAGTCAGGCTTGTAAATTGATATAGGCATACTTACCTTTATGTCCAACCAGTATTTATTTCCTACGATGTACCAGGCACTCTTCTAGTTCCTGGTGCTATGGCATTGATTAAGGTCCCTGCTTGTAGAGAGTTCATACTTCCTGGTTTCAGAAATAACTTTATATTTAAATTATTTTTTTGTTACCTCTTAATCACTAAAATTTTTGTGGGACAAGAAAAAAAGAAAAACCTTTGTGGGCTAGGAGGCAAATTAAGAACATTTTGTATATAAGAATGGAGAAAAATTTCCACAAAACTTTGATGAAATTCAAAATATAAAAATTATAGAGTATCCTTTTTATAATACAGATCTAAGGAGAAGAGTGCATTTCTATTTTGGGAGACTGGGGGAGACATTTCATTTTTCATTTAATTGGAGTTCAGAGTTAATGTTCCCTCTCATCAAATTGATTGCAAATGTTTGTCAGTAAAAACCATACAAAAATATGTGGTAGGCCGAATTTGCCCTGTGGGCCGTGTTTTCTGACTTGGTGTAGACTGTTGAGCTTAATTTTACTTTGTCCTTTATAATCTATCAAATGTTTAGTAATTATAAAGTAATTTGAAATTCTTAGAGATAAAGTAATTCCGTCATATTTTTCAGACTAAGGACTTGACAGACACATTGATGGATAATATGTCATCTTTGACCAGCCTTTCTGTTACTACCCCTAAAATTTCTGCTTCAAGTACCTTCACCTCTGTTCCTTCCGTGGGCCTTGGCATGATGTTTTCTACACCAAATGATAATACAAAGAGAAGTTTGACAAATGGCCTAAATGCTAACATGGGCTTTCAGACTGCAGGATTCAGCATGCCGGTTAATACTAACCAGAACTTATTCAGTAGTCCAAGCACACCTGGAGTGACCAAGATGACACCGGGAACACCTTCCACTTTGCCAAACTTCAGTGCTGTGAGTGTTCCTCCTGCCGGCGCAAAGCAGACTCAACAAAGACCCACAGATATGTCCGCTCTTAATAATCTCTTTGGCCTTCAGAAACCCAAAGTTAGCATGAACCAGTTATCTCAACAGAAACCAAATCAGTGGCTTAATCAGTTTGTACCTCCTCAAGGGTCTCCAGGTATGGGCAGTTCGGTAATGGGAGCACAGATGAACATGACAGGACAGTCTTCCTTTGGTATGCAGGCTAACCCTTTCTTTAACCCACAGACCTTTGCACAGCCGCCAACTACTATGACCAGTAGCAGTTCAGCTAGCAATGACTTAAAAGATCTTTTTGGGTGAGGTGTCTCGCTCCTATTTTTGAAGGATTACTTCTTTTCAATCATGGGTGAGCTGATTTATATCTTTATATAGTTGGCTTGGAGGAACTACTTCTGTGGGAAAGTGAATGGTTCTCTGACAGAAAACACCTGTTTCCATGCCAGCATAGTAGTTGTAAGGACTCCTTAACTACAGTTGAGTTTTTTAAAGCATTGAGGATTTTTTTCCTCTTACCATCTTCTCTTCAGGTTTTTAAAAGACCCCAACCCTTACCAATCTTAATGAGAAAAAAAAGACACCTGAATATCTTGAATAGCAGAATTTTTTAATCAAGTGTTTATTTTGGCTTGTAAATCTTGGTGTTATTTAAAAAATCGAGTTGGTGGTAATTGCAAGTGTCATCTATTAAATACTACATGGTACACAGTTGCTCTTCAAAAGTCATCATTCTTGATTTTAATATGTGGAAGATCATGATGCTGTATTGATTTGTTTGCGTTTAGTATGACAGAGAGAAAATGATAACCATAACAAAAAGAATCAGGTCACTTGCTTTTTCCAATCTTATTTACTTCTGAGATAAACTAATGTTTAGTACAAAAGACCAAGCAAACACTGCAAAATTTAACTTAATGTTGATTTCATTGTTTGAAACTTAAGGCATTATTAACCATCTTAAATGCAAACCAATCATTGTAAATTATATTTAAGCATGGTCTGCCTCGAATAGTAATGTATTTTTCTGCATTCACTTGGGGACATTTACACTTTTTTCCTACCATATCACAGATAGAAGAGGTATGTACTGATACTTGACAAAGCCCTCTGGTGTGATTCTCTGACTGTTGCCTTCATATTTCATTTTGATTTCAAACTTCTGAGGTTGCAGCATATATTAATTGCATTTCGAGAGGAGATTTGTAAGAATTAAACTATATTTAATGAGTAAACTTTTGAGATTTCTTCTGTATTGTTTCAGATGTAATAAACTTTACTTCTCTAAAAATGAGCAGTTTTATCTTCTGGCTACCAACAGATTTTCAGTTTACCATGATAAAGTCTGATCTCATCAATTACTGCAATTGAAGTTAAATTTTTTTCTAGGAAGTTCAGGAATCATTTATTTGAACATTTTCATCTCTATAATAAGCCATTTTTAGGAAGGAGAAAATGAATTCTTCTGCCAGGAAACATACTTTATTTTTCAAAGTCTTTCTCTGATTTTTTTTAAAATTTACTGATTATTCAACTCAGAGCTTTATGCTATAAATGTCAGTTGTATTTTTTTAAATTATATTTTACCATTATATAGCTTTAAAGTGATCTTTCACAGAACTATTACATGTATTAGTTGCTGCCATTGAGTTTGTGGTTTTTAATTATCTGAAACTGGCAATCATTTAAAATATATCATATGTTGTAGTGTGCTGATACTAAGTTGATTCATTGAAATACATACGTATATATACATATACACACTAAATATATACATTGAATATATGGTACTTGGTTATAAAATGTAATTTGATGATAATGCTGGCAGCATTCAGTAAGAGGGAGAGTACTTTAAAAAATAAAGTCAGCTTTACATCTGGTTTCTTTATGAGCTAAACATTGTTACATGGTTTTAGAAAAAGGACTCAGAAATGCTGAAGAAACTTAATCCAAGAAATGAAAGGCACTAGGATGATCAGATGCTTTTGTCAAATATATTAACACCTTGGCCAGATTATCTGTCTTGTTTGTAACACAGTACTTCTCTTGAGAAAAGTTTTCATATGGAATAAAATTGCTTGATGTTGAAGAATTTTTCTTTGTAACAGTTCAGTAGTCACTATTTGTGAGGAAATTGTTTTTTTATTTTGTAAAATGCCGTGATGTTGGTGGTGGACTCCTAATTAGAAGGAAAGCATAATATAACATATGATTTGAACTTCTAAATATAAAAATAGATTATTTGAGAAAGTATAATATGTAATTCCTAGGTCATTTTCACACCTTGTAATATGCTCATTCATTGAAGTAGTGGTGCTACATTTTTAGAAAATTCTTCCTAAACTTTTTTTTTCTAATTTCTTGAAGGTATTTTATTTAAATAATTTCCATCAGTTGAACTGTTACCATTGCCTTTTTCTGTTGAGAAGTGCTTATGAAAAATAGTGCTGCGTTTAGGCTTGTATTTCTATGTGAACAACATTTTCAGAGTTGTAGGTCACCTTAAAATTATTTCAGATATTGACAGCATTAAGTCCGTTATGCTTAGAGTAGAAAATTGGTAGATTAAAAAAATAAAAAGCACATGTAGACAAAAATTACAAGAAAGATTCCCTTTTATTTGAATTGGTTCTTTATTCTGATACTAAAATGTGTGATCTATGTAGAGGATGTATAAAAGGAAATGGAAATAGACTATGTGCTTGGCAGGGTTTTGTTTGTTTTTGTTTTTATTTTGGAATTCTTATAACCATTTTCACCTTAATAAGTTAAGGAAGTAGGTTTTATGTGTTTGTTTAACCTGTAAAATACCTCACGTGGTGGCTTTTCCATATTAAAAGAAAAGGTATATATGGAAGTACCTGACAGCAAGCACAGAGTATACACCAAATAAATTACAGCTTTGATAAAACTTTCCATATTAAGTTGTGATTTCATGCTTTGTGATTTACTGGTCTTGAAATAATTTTAGAACAAAATGAATCTATAAGAATTCAAATTCTCTAGAATTTTCAGAGATTACCTATGTCAGTGGCTTTCAAACTGTAACTGTGACACTCAGTAAGAAAAATTATATCTTACATTGCAATCCAGTATATAAAATATATACCTGAAACCAAAGTTTCAGAAAATGTCTTTAATACATGTAGTGTATTCTGATCTTTTTTATTGTAGTCTATCAGAAAAAACTGGTTACAATCTCTGTAGGGATTTCATCAGTTTGAATGCAACTGAAATAATTCAGCCCTGTCTTCTCCACCCAGATGTAGAAACAGAGGGCCAGAGACTTAATGGCCTAACTCAAGAAGGTCAGAGCCAGGATCAGAAGCTAGATTTTTTTCTAGTCTGCAGTCTAATCCTACCATGTTGCATCCCATATATCCTTTATTGCATCCTGGAGTTGCTTTTGTTGAGACTGTTTTATGTCACAAGTATGTGTTCAGTCTTATTGGGTACCATAAATATATTGCAAAAATCAGCATTGACGAAGGGAGGGAGGTGACAGAACAGAAATGTGTATAGTCAAAATCAGCCTCTGGGCCGCTTCCCTGAACTGTGAGTGAGGAGGGCTGGGGGAGCCAGGTTAGCAGTGCTTGCAGGACCCAGACATGTACCAGAATTAAAGCATATAATCTTGGGTGGTGGGGTTGCAGTGGGAAAAGCCATTTCACCAAAATGGTTATTAGAAATGTTTTTGTCCAAAGCAGCCAAGGTGTTCCAGCCACTCAGGGATCATTTAACTACCTGGGGTGCAAGCCACATAGATAATTTAAAATTTTTTAGTAACCACATCAAAAAGTAAAAATAGATGAAATTAATTCTAAGAGTGTATTTCATTCAACTGAATAGAGCCAAAATATTATTTCAACATGGTATTGATACAAAGTTAGATAGCATAGGTGTATATGGAAGCTAAGTGGCCAAAAGAGTGAATTCTGGCAATTATCAACCTACTGATTCCCAGCTCCAAATTCATCCTTCTCTGCCCTGCTTGGTGATGATACTAGAACTGAACCCTGTAAACTTTTCTCCTTTGCCAGCTTGGCTGGATGTTAGGCCTCATCGACAGAGGGCCCTAAAGTGCTTCTGCAAAGTGGTAACACCAGAAGACGTGCTACTTGTGGGTTGTGGTTTTCCAGTTTTATTCACCATAGGAGCCCAGCGGCCCCCGAGGAGGACCTCCAGCTGTGCTCAGGTCACGCTCTCCCACCCTGGCTGTCGCTTTGGAGCAGTTCCAGTGGGCTGCTTCCATGGCAACTCACCCATCCCTCAGGCAGCTGTCTCCCACCCTGTGGCCTTCCTCTGACCACTGGCAGGTTGAGGGTGCCCGTGGAAACCATACCCTCCCCAAAGAAGGCTGGTGCTCAGCTTGGGGGATTGAGGTGGAGAAGAGAGCCTCTTCTAGCTTTAGTTTCTTAATTTTCTTCACTTTCTCTTAGAAGTGGTAGTAGCTTTTTTTTTTGGCAACTGCTACTTGTGTATTCCTTAGAGTCTTTCTTTTTACCCGTTTAAATAGTTGACCTACCTTCTACTAGTTAACAATTATTTAAATTTCTTTGTTGAAATATCTGGTGTGGTTTCAGTCCCCTGACCTCACCGTCGCTACTAGACTCCTTAAGCCATTTGAAGCAGTATTATATGATATGTATTTATGCTGCTAGCCAAAACCATATGGGATTACATGTACCTATTCTATGTTAAAACTTTCTGCAAGTTCTTTGAAAATGTGCCTGTAATAGAGATAGTGGCTTGACTAGTCTACAAACATTGATGCAGTTTCAATTTTTTATCTTTTCATTTTTTCTACTTTGTGGATGTGTTCCTTTGTGGTGGCCTAGGTTGCTTAGGAAAGCTACCCTTTGACTTTCATATTAAATGAAATGAAATTGAGACTAATATCTAGAGTTTGAATGTAGAAATCAACATTCATGCAGTTCTCCTTCAAGTCTATGTCTTTAAGCCTGCCAATCTTTCTAAATGCATTGATCAAATGAAAGTCCAATATGGGGCATTTCCACAGGTACAATGGAAGCATATGGAGTGCATGAACTTTGGAGTCACATAAAGTTGGGACTATTTTTTGTATGTTATTCAAAAATGATAGCATTTATATATGTTCATGTTAAAAAAATATATATATATATTAGCATGCTAAAATTAGTAGCATTTATGGTCTATGGAGGTGGGGTGAGGTGCTTTATACATTTGTTCATGTGTTGAAACAAAACCGAAATTGTTTTTAAGATCTTGTCTCTTACAGTGGGTACTCTTCAGATCACTTCTGTGAAGAGAGAGAAAGGCCTGTCACTGAGACAGTCGTCTGTATTCCCAGCTCCAGTGATTATATGGACTTGCCCTTAATCAGCAATAGTATGTTACCCTGGGTACTAGTCAGAGGACAGCCTTTAACTCTTGATTGTCCAACATTCAAAAATCTAACTTGAGAAATGCCTATGGAGGAGGCCAAAAATTGAGTAATCCATGCATTTGTCTAGAAATTCTTAATGTAATTAAGCCCACAATGGAGATCTTTGTGCCCTTTTTTGGACACACATCAAGTTCCTTTACCACACTTAACTTTGGACTATATTGTGAAACTGATATTCATGCCAGGATGACACAGGTTCACTCCACCATGCAATTGCTTCTTTGAGGACCCCCAGGAGAAATTCAGGTTTCAGTTCAGGAGTGAATGTGCTTCTAAGCACTAGTTTGCCTTTACCTCTTGAAGTCTCTGAATAATGAACGTAACAAATCACATATTAGCAGCTGGGAGGTCCAGCCAATTTTCAGTCTACCTGTGGCAATTGTGTAGGTTATTAATAGTATGTGTATTTTAGTACTTTTGGCTTCATCTGATTTTTAATTTCTATTTCTCCTTTGATTTCCTCTCTTTTTAAAAAGTTTCACATCATGTTCTTAGAAATCCTCATTTTGGAATAAGGTACAGTATAAATACGTGGAGTGAATGAGTTTAAAGATCTAGTCTCTTACATTAGCTGACAAGAATAAGTTTCCCCAGCTATTAAGAGAATGTTCACGCCTTACAAACTTATTAGAACTAAATGAAGTAAAAGTGTGTAAAGGCTCCTGACACATGGTAGGTGCTCAGTAGATACCCTCATCTTCCTTATGGTGGACTTAAGTCTCTAAAATAATCTCTGCTTGAATGAAGAACAGATAGTTCACCCAGCATAACTTACATACACTTTTCAAAAAAACAAACCAAAAATGGGTTATAGGCTTGGCATTGTGAGATTCTTAGGACACAAACAGTACTGAGATATAGACCTTGCCCTCAAGGAATTTACACTGCAGTTAATAAATGTAGCTGAGTAAGCCAGATAATTATAGGACTTTGAGGTACATGCTGTGATGAATCTACAGGTGAGGCTAGGGGAGCATGGGGAACACTTCAGAGGAGACGGCATGAGCTTGGCCTCATGTGGAACCTTTTTAAATTGTCTTTGATGCTATGAAACAATTATTTAGGAATCACATTTTCCTAAATTAAGCTAGACACAGTGGGGAGGGGAATAGATCAAGTAACTCCCAGGGTCCTTTTAAGTTTGCAGATTATAGGAAAACAAATGAAGGAGTCTGGTTAAATGACTTTGATTACCAGAAAATGTGAAATTAGCCTTGGCTGCTTAAAACCTTTCCTATGAGGCAAAGTCAGGGATGACAGCAAGGTGAGGAGCAAGTAAGTCAGCTACAGGCTTGTTTTTTAGCTAATTTATGCTTCATTGAGTATATCCGAAATTTAAGATAGCACACAGGCTCAATAAAAGTACACTGAATAGATCTCTTGTAAACAGTGGTGGCTGGTTTCTGGGGAAAAAAATGCCTGGCATAAGTGGATATAGTCTGTAGACTACCAGAAGATGTCACTGTTTCTCAAGTAATGACCCATCACACTGGCCGTTTCGCAGGTCCATGTTTGAACAAGCTGTGACAGATTGGTAAGAATATTTGGCTTCTGCTACTGAATTTATGAGAAGGACAAGACCTCACAAGAAATAGTTGTCCAAGGTGTATAGGACATTTTGATTCTTGATGCCCCAAATATAAACCCTGTTCCCTGCTCCATCTGTGCTTTTGAGAAAAGTGAACGTGATGAAAACTTGCATTATGATGATGAACTGCATTTACTAAATTACTAGATTTCGTAGGTTATTTTGGCCTTGAACACAACCTAAGATACCCTTGAATCTTTTCTTCAAGTCACTACTCGTGGTGTGTCAAGCAAAACCAGAGTGTTTCCCCACTGTAATAATGCTGGGTGAAATGAACAAGTATTCCCCCAGTTACTTACAAATAGGGACTTTGGACTAAATCTGAACCAGTGTACACTCACCGTATCTAGGCAGTAATAACGCATGTTAAAAATAAATTTTCTTGTCTTTACACTGAAAAAAAACAGATTGAAAATAGATAATCGAGTGTCTTATGTTAGGGGTTGTGGGAAGTGAGATTTTCCAAGATGAAATGATAATTTCTTAAAGGAAGCCAGTGTGACGGCCAAGCAAATGAGTACATGGGTATGGTTTCTTGTCCAGCTCTGCCTATTGCTTCAAAAGAACTAAATATATCACTGGTCTTGATGCCTTTGGCTTCAACAATAGAGTGGAGTAGTGTGCCCAGTCTGGTTTTCTAGGTAGGTACGTAGAAGACTCCAAGGAGCAGTTAAGAATGAAGTTGAAAGTGTTTCATAAATACAAAGAATTCATGTGCTAGGTAAATTCTTATATGAAAAATTCAAAATACTTAGAAATTATTCTATGCTGTATAAAGGCATCCTGCATTTCTTTATTTTATTTGACTTTCTTTTAAATTTTTATTAATTGGGAAAAATTTATGACACCTAATATTTAGGCAGTTACAGTGATGGCCTGAAAGTAAAATGATTTGTTTCTAG